CCATGTTCAATTGTTTAGCCAATTTGACTTTTAAAAATATGCTATTTAATTTAATGTTATATTTTTGATTGAGAGGTTGGTTTTTTGTGTGAAATAACTTTCCTCATTTGAATAAGATTAATATATACAATTGTGTATATTAACTAAGATAGTTAAACACATGTAGTAATGATGTAATACATATAGTAACATATTGGTCTCTTTTCTGTTACAGTACAGCATCTTCTTCTTAATAGTTCTCGCATTAATGCATCAATCTACTGAATCGTAAGTATTTGTAACCAAATTTAGCGTTATAAAGCAATCGCGATATATACATGTGAGACTTTCCTAAGAATAACAACCTGTATTGCAAATTCTTTTTAGTAAAAAGATGGTTGTGATTCATGTACCCTATAGGGTGAAAAATGTGAAACATACGCATACAATCTACAAGATAATTCCACACCACCATCAGCAAAAACATGAGGACGAAGGCAATGACTACCGGAAACGATAACATGTACCTTCTTAAATTATTATGACGTAGCAACAATTCATATATGAGCAGTAAACCCAAAGAACAGTCATTAGGTTACCATAAGATGGGATTACTTTGTGACTGTAGGGGTTACTTTGTGACACAATAAATATTGGTTAATAGTGATAATTATCACTGTGTCACAAGTAACCCCTACAGTCACAAAATAACCCCATCTTACGGTATCCTTAAATATATTTTAGTTATCTTTAAACACCTAGATACTTTTTATCACTTTATTACGTTTATATTACGTAACATTCTATGTGATATTATTATGTTTATTTATAAATAAATTACATAAGAATATAAAAATATTTTTCAATAATTTTTCCGATAAATCCAATGTCAAGATTAATAAACATAGCATGTCTTCATTTGTTTAAGTATAAATAATTGCTTTTACATATAAAGTATATGAACGTATATGTATATTGAAAGTATAAATGAAAATATATAAACAATTGGATATTTTCTTTATATTTTTATACTTGTAATTATTACTTTTATTAAATTTTGATCATTATATTTAGCTATATTATATCCCAGATAGCATAGTTACATTCTAGAAATATTCTATGAATATTTTTCGGGAACTTTGGAATATTCTAAGATGATACTTTTAAAAAATAAGAAACATTCTATGAACATTTGTAGAATGTTCAATTGAGACTATTTTCGTTATTCTAAGTCTATGTTTCAGCCAATCATCATAGAATATTCTGTGAATGTTTAAAAATATTATAAAATAATATTATAGAAAGGTCTATATATCTATACAAGTCTATATATCTAAATGTTCCATTTTAATTAATTCAAATATCGTTAAAATCATTAGTGACCAAAAAATGTTGTAAAAGAAAACTTTAAGATTCCAATGAAGATATCATCAGCATGAACTTTTCTTTTATTTTAGAGCATTATAGATAATTTAAGATCATTAGCATTTCTTGAAATGAATATATTTTTTTTGTTTAATGATATTGTAGTTTTAAATAAAACAAAATTATAATACTTTAAAAAGTAGATAATTTAACCTACTTTAAAAAGTAGATAATTCCATTTCAATATATGCTACTGACTTTGAAATCTCCGTAACGCCTCCACTCATAAAAGAAGATATACGCCATATGTAATGTGCCTCTTATAGAAATCTTGAAAGATTGTTTTACAATATTTTTTCAAATTAGTAATAATTTCGATATTTGCGTGAATTAATTAAAATAAGATATATATTTCCCAAAAGAAACTATATATATCTTAAAAAAAAACAAAATAAACATAATAATTTAGATTTAAAAGACAGAAGTTTGTTAATATCACATATTTAAATAAATTTACGCAGTAATCATGTATACAAATTAACCTTTATTTTAAACGTAACATATATAGGGTGTCCCGAACCTCCGTGATGACCCTTGGTGAGAACGTAGAACGGATTGTGAACGGAGGTGAGTAAGAAAGTTCTGTGCCGTTTTGCGATATTCGCAATAGTTTTTGAGGAATTAATTATTTTATCTCAACAAATCAGCGTACAGAAAGCGGCAGCGGAAAGAAAGATGCCTTCGGCCGGTGTGCGACCGTGACACTCGCGAATCGCGCTTCACCGCGTCCCTCCGCCAATAGCTACGAGACATAGCGAGTCGTGATACACTGACACATATGCATGACATATCCGTGTGCCGAATCGACGTCGAATCGAAGCGTGTCGCCGCTTCGGCTTCATACATGTATGTAGAGGTAAAACAGCGAGCGACGTGTAACACAAAATCGTATGCCCAAACATAATTATCTTTCGTTTTCTCGACGTCGTAGTAGAAAAATGACAGCGCGCGATTACATTTAAAAGATTATTTTATAAGACAGCTCACACACATTAAAACCGTAATGTGTTCCTGTGATTAAAAAAAAATAGAAAGAAAGAAAGCGATAGAAATTGAAAGGATTTGCAGAGAATCTAACTGTTCTCTATCGTAATTGTTTCTCTATCGTATCTTTTGCAGGTATCGAATCCGCAAGAAATGAAATCGTTTTCTATCGTGCTCTGTTAGAAGAGTATTAAATCATTAATATTGGGAGTGTACATTAATTTTAAGGGACTTTTTGGTAAAAATACGGCTTTATAATGAAAAAATGGTTACAAATTGATCATTCAAAATATTGTCCATCGCTAGCTACTACTTTTTCCCATCTTTCTGGTAATAGGTGGATTCCACGTCGAAAGAACGACACACCTTTTGAGGCTATCCACGAATCGACCCATTTTTTGATATCCTCATAAGAATGGAAGCGCTGCTCAAACAGGCCATGAATCATCGATCGAAATAGGTGGTAATCGGAAGGAGCAATATCTGGAGAATACCGCGGGTGTGGTAGGACATCCCAGTTAAGCGCTTCTAACGTTTCCTTGACCGGTTTTGCAACATGTGGCCGAGCATTGTTGTGCTGGAAAATCACTTTGTCGTGTCTTTTCGCGTAATCTAGCCGTTTTTGCTTCAATGCTAGGCTCAATTGCATCAATTGTTGTGGTAGCGTTCACCAGTGATGGTTTCATTGGGTTGGAGCAGCTCATAATACACTACACCCAGTTGATCCCACCAAATATAGAGCATGAGCTTGGCGTCATGAATATTCGGCTTTGCTGTCGATGTTGATGGTTTTCCTGGCCTGTACCATGATTTTTTGCGCTTTCGATTATCGATTTTTTCCGCTTCGAATAAGCGTATCCATTTTTCATCACGATACGATGTAAAAAATTTTTTCTTCTGTGTCTTTGAAGCAACAATTCACAGGTCATTGTGCGCCTTTTGACGTCCTTCGGCTTCAACGACACCCAATTTCCTTGCTTTTGAATCATTCCAATGGCCTTCAAACGTCTGGAAATCGTTGATCGATTAACATTTAATGATTTTGCAAGTTCTTCTTGCGTTTGATTTGGGTCTTGATTGAGTAAAGCTTCCACTTCCTCATCTTCAAACTTTTTTGGTTGGTCTGAACGTTCCTTGACTTTGGTGTCAAAATCACTTTTTTTATAGCATCGAAACCAGTACTTACATGTTGAAATCGATGGGGTATAATCACCATAAGCTTCCGACAGCATTCGTTGACTTTTAGCAGTACTTTTGTTCAAATGGAAGCAAAAAAGCAAAACTTCCCTCAAATTGCGTTTTGTTGGCACAAAATTCGACATATTCAATGCTCAAAAAAATAATGTTGTTTACACTTCGGCAAAATGGCACATACTGAAAACTAAAGCCACATGATGGTGTTTTGACATGAAGGTAGCAACAATATGGCCTGATGCGATGTACTAGTTACGCCATCTCTCTTGAAAATCCTTTAAAATTAATGCACACTCCCAATATGATAGAATTCTTGGAGACTTGTCGTATCCTATCGTTTTGTTGGAATTTATCATGAAAAAATCACTGGAAATCTGTCATAATTTGTAGTGTATTAACGATGGGAGAAACTCAAAGTTCTTTATCGTATAAAGGAAATCTATTGTTCTCGATTATATACGAACGATATTTGACTTGTACGTATAATTACGATAGAAGGCGTGCATCATAATCTATCGTCAAGTGGTTACACCGAGAATGGGTGTTTTTCTATCGTCTTCTTACAAAAAGCGTAACACGCTTTGGCTAAGTACATTTGTCAACAAAATTATCGTATAGGTAAATTTATGTCGAAATTTAACACAATTTTAAATACCGCGAATTTTAATACTGTAAATTATTGCTTTAAAGACACAGAAGAAAAAGTTTTTTATCGTATCATGACGGGTGTTGAAAAATGAATATGCTACGATAATCCAAAGCGCAAAAAATCATGGTGCAGGCCAGGCGAACCACTAACATCGACGGTAAAGCCGAATATTCATGGCGCCAAACTCATGCTCTGTATTTGGTGGGATCAGCTGGATGTAGTGTATTATGAGCTGTTCCAACCTAATGAAACCATCACTGGGGAACGCTACCAACAACAATCGAGCATTGAAGCAAAAACGGCCAGATTACGTGAAAAGACAAAGTGATTTTCCAGCACGACAACGCTCGGGCACATGTTGCAAAACCGGTCAAGGAAACGTTAGAAGCGCTTAACTGGGATGTCCTACCACACCCGCGGTATTCTCCAGATATTGCTCCTTCCGATTACCATCTATTTCGATCGATGATTCATGGCCTGTTTGAGCAGCGCTTCCATTCTTATGAGGATATCAAAAAATGGGTCGATTCGTGGATAGCCTCAAAAGGTGTGTCGTTCTTTCGACGTGGAATCCACCTATTACCAGAAAGATGGGAAAAAGTAGTGGCTAGCGATGGATAATATTTTGAATGATCAATTTGTAACCATTTTTTCACAATAAAGCCGTATTTTTACCAAAAAATTCCTTAAAATTAATGCAAACTCCCAATATATACGAGGTTTGATAAAAAAATAAGCGGAATTTTCGTTTTTCTCAAAACATTTTTATTTATTCATCGATATTAATTTTGTCCCTTTCAAAGTACTCCCCATTAGATATAATACATTTGTGCCAGCGCTTTTTCCAATTTTCGAAATACTTCTGAAACGCAATTTTCGGTTTGGCGTTTAGCTCCTTCAGCGATTCTGTCTTTATCTCTTTAATGTTGGCAAAACATTGTCCTTTCATAGTTCTTTTCAGCTTCGGGAATAGAAAGAAGTCACAGGGGCCCATGTTCGGCGAATATGGAGACTGAGGCATCATAACGGTGTTGTTTCTGGCCAAAAATTCACGAACAAGCAGTGAAGTGTGAGTAGGTGCATTATCGTGGTGCAATTGCCATGAATTGTTTCGCCACAAATCTGAAAAAATTGCTTGGCATGAGCCAAATGGTATGCCAATATCATCAGCAACCTCTCTAATAGTGATTCGGCGATTGTTCATAATCATTTTCTTTACTTTTTCGACGTTGTCATCGGTTGTTGATGTGCTGGAGCGTCCAGGGCGCTCGTCATCTTTAACGTCTTCACGGCTCTTTTGAAAACATTTGTACCACTTGTAAATGCTTGTTTTATTCATAGAAGATTCACCAAAAGCAACATTCAACATTTCCAATGCGGTGCTATACTTTATTCCATCCTTAAAGCAAAATTTAATGTAAATTCTTTGTTTCATTTTTTCTACAAGTTAAAAATCGCCGAGCATACCAAAACACGTGTAATCTTTTCGACAACCAACAATAAAGTAAGCATCCAATATAGCTACCAATGTCAAGGACAACGTCAGGGACAATAAGTGTACCAACACAACAACAACAAAAATTGTGACAATTGGAAATTTAAAAATTTCGTGTATTTCTTTATCAAACCTTTTATATATATACAGGGTGGGCCATTTTAATCTCCCCACCTGAATTTCTCGTAATCTAAGTCAGATAGAGAAAAATGGTCCTAACAAAAGTAGAAGGAGACAGAGTGGGTCACGTAATGGTACCAAGGACCTTGACCTTGAACTCGATTTTCAAGGTTATTTCAAGGTCAAAGTGATTTTTTAAATGGGAACACCTATTGTTGACCCCGGATTTGAAAAGAGCGGGAAATTTTACGTTCAAAATGATATGTTAATCAAGGTCATGGCAAGGTCGAATGAAGGTCAAGTTTGCGAATTTTGATTTCCCAATTGAATATATCGGAACCTAAGCCAAATACGTAAAATTGGTTTAGACAAATGTTAAAGGGGGCCGAGGGGGTCACCTATTTGTACTCTGATCTTGACCTTGAACTCAATTTTCAAGGTTATTTCAAGGTCATAGTGATTTTTCAAAATGGGAATCACTATTTTCGAGGGTTTCTTTAACTGTATTAACCTTACTTTTAGCGCTACCCAGAAATAGGTATGCCTATTAACATTTT